TAGCTGACAGGCACCTTCTTTGTGAGGAGGTGCCACAGTCTGTTGTCTTTGAGCTTTTCCATAAACACACTATTCCTCCAGTCTTGCCACTTATTGCATACTGCCTGTTGTCTTCACTTAACTGCTTCATATCTTCACTTCTCATTTCCCCAGGGAGCTACTGGAACGTAGGGACTGTGTACATCATAGCCTATTATTATTACTCCAAAATGCCAGCTTCGTTAACACACAGTACATATTAGTTGAACTGATGGAAGTTTTGTAGATGGGAAATCTGACATAATTTCTTACTTATTTGGACAGATGCTCCGTGTCCTTTGGAAGCAAAATAGTCACATGGGAAAATCCTCATAGAGACAGAAGCCCTGGCTTCTAATCCTGGCTGTGTCCTAAACTCCCATTGTGGCTTGTAGTAAGTCACTAGCTTTCTCTGGCATTTAATTTCCTCATTTGTGAAACCAGGGATGATAAGTAAACTTCATGTTAATGCTGGATTTGGGCTATTCTGAATAGCAACGTGCAATGTCTTTAAAGAGTGTAAATCTATCCCAGGTTCTGAAATGAGAAACTTGGGTAGAGGGCAAAGTATGTGATTTGGCCAAGGTTCTTTGCATTGCATTGTGTGTGTGGAGAAGAGAAAGTTGCTCACTTCTTATCCGAGTCCCGGGACTCTTCCATCCCAGGAATGTCAAACATTCACTATCTACACGCCTGCTCTGGCCTTTTATGAATGAGCTGGTGGAGAGCTTCATCCAGCTGGATTGCTGCCTGCCCCCTGTGTGTTTCCAGTCTAGACGGAAAAGTTCATTATTATGCTTGATAAAACCTGTTCAACTAATGTGTTCTGAGGACGAAAACCACAAAAGGCACTAGTTTTTTTTGGGGGGGTTGTTGTTTTGTTTTGTTTTACATTTATGGAGCATCTAGTTTCCTCAGAAAGTCAGTACACAGATATGGAGGAAAAGATGTGCTACTGTCCATAAATAACACCTGGGATCTAAGCACGGCTTACAGAAAGCTCCAGTACCTAGAGTAGGTACTCCGTAGGTGCCACATAGGTGATGCTCAATATAAATATCTGAAAGGGAATGAAAATATCCGAGGCTCTCAAACTGGTTGTTTTATTTTATTTTATTTTATTTTATTTTATTTTTTGATCAGATATACAGTTTCAGTCTCTAAAACTGGCACACACTCAAAATTCACAGTAGATTCCTGTTCTTTTTTTTCCTCAGATTTTTTATTTAAATTAGAAACAAGCTTGTTTTACATGTCAATCCCAATTCTCTCTCTCCCACCCTCCTCCCCTGCCCTCCACTAAACCCTATCTGCTCCCCAGGGAGGGTGATGCTTTCCATGGGGGAATCTTCAAAGTTTGTCAGTCATATCATTTGGAGCAGGGCTTAGGCTCTCCCAGTGTGTCATGGCTCAGGGAGTATCCCTCTACATAGACTGGGCTCCCAAAGTCCATTCGTATGCTAGGGATTAAATATTGATCCACTACTAGAGGACCCATAGATTGCCCAGACCTCCAAACTGACCTCCTCGTTCAGGGGGTCTGGAACAGTCCTATGCTGGTTTCCCAGCTATCAGTCTGGGGGCCATGAGCTCTCCCTTGTTCAGGTCAGCTGTTTCTGTGGGTTTCTCCAGCCTGGTCTTGAGCCCTTTGCTCACCACTCCTCCCTCTCTGCAACTGGATTCCAGGAGTTCAGCCCAGTGTTAAGCTGTGGGTGTCTGCTTCTGCTTCCATCAGCTACTGGATGAAGGCTCTAGGATGGCATATAAGGTAGTCATCAATCTCATTATCAGAGAAGGGCTTTTAAGGTAACCTCTCCACTATTGCTTAGATTGTTAATTGGCATCATCCTTGTGGATCTCTGGACATTTCCATAGTGCCCGATTTCTCTTTAAACCTATAATGTCTCCCTCAAAAAACTGGTTGTTTTAAAGAGACATCATTAATGAAATTGTATTGTAAGCTCACTACATAAATGAGGTGGATATGAATACTGTCTTGATTGAGGAAAGCTGAAGTCCAGTCCTGTTTACTCTTCCCTCTGGGACCCAGGAAGTTTCCTCAGAGCCTAACTGGAAAACCTTTCTTGTAGCCAGTAGAAATGAGAAGTGTTTAAATTCTTTCTCTCTTACCAATTCATTTTGGCCATGTGCAATCTTAACAAAATAGACTATGATCTTTCAGTGGGGACATGCGTATCTGAAAAGAAAATGCTGCCAACTCCCTCCACCTACCCTCACTCCCAGTTATTACTAAGAGCATACAAGTGGTTATTTTCAGTAGGAGACTTGATCCATAAATGTATATGAGACTAGTGTTTGTTTAATTTAAATAAAGAAGGAAAGAAAAGTGCTGTGGCAGTTTTCCCAGCATTCAGTAGAATTCTCACTGGGTATAGTCTACTACTGTGGAGCAAACTGAAAAACTCTTTGGTGAAGTCTGGTATGGTCAGCAGCCAGCTAGGTGCAACTGCCTTCTGCACCAGAGACCTGACAAGCAGAAACATACCTAACCAAATCCACAGTCAGTGTCGTGTACATGCAGGTGTAAAGACAGTATCCCACGGACAGGACATCCTTCTCCATGTTAGTAGGACTGTCACCCTCTCTCTGTCCAGCCTGTCTGACATCTTTGTTTCCCTGTTAGGTTAAGGAGAGATAAAGTCAAGACCACTTACTTAACAGAGTGGTCTGAGAAGCAAGGCACACCCCCATCCCTATCTTTGGAAAACAATTTGTGTTGATGTTTTGGAGATGTCAAAAGGGTAATACTTTTAAATTATGAGGTTTCATTATTACTTTCATAGGAATCTCTTTGAGCCCTACAGATTGTTCCTTCCTTACCGGAAGGACAGTTATACATATAACTTCCTTATATGCCAGAAGTGGTAGGTGTAGAACTAGTTCTGGGAATCCCATTTGACAGTAGAGTAAACTAAGGGGTGAAAGGAGTGTCCAGATCCCAGACAACAAGCCACCAGAAGCTGCAGCTTCTTCGCTACTGACATGTCTCCACTCCCTCCATCTCCTGGACAACCTCCTGATGGCTCCCTAGCTTCAAAATCTAGCTCAGGCTGGATTCTGATAGAGGACAGCATTTGCTGCTGCTGAATTGTCTCCAGTTCCAAGCACCTGCCTGCTCCCCTCCATGGTATATGCTGTTGTTATTTGGAATTCAGTGTTAACACCTAAAATCTGGTTTTAGGAGCAGAACACTCAAGGTTAGGGCTGGAGGAAACCGTAGGACCCCAAGGATTTGTTCAGGGTCCGTTTGACAGCAAATCATGACAAAGCTAATACTAGACCAAGTTTTCCTATGTTGATCCTGCCTTCCTGGTTGGATCCCAAGCCCACTTTCCTCTCTTGCTCTCTTTTTGTCTATAAACTGCCTTTCTTCACTTCTCTGCCCCACTCCTACGGTCCTGTCTGACTAGAAAGAGTGTGCTGCACTAGAAAGAGGGTCTGTACTTAATTTCTGGGACCTTGGTATTTGTTGGCTTACTCTGGATTAAGGACCTCAGTGCTGGGAGAGAGTCTAACATCCCAGCTCTGAAACAAGATTTCATCCCAGCTAAAACCATCCCAGACATTTGTTTAGGAGCGAAAATAATGGGGTTTAGATGCTGTTGACTGAAGTTCCCCAGCGTATTCAATGAGCGTAGGAGCCAACTTGGTGGCCCTTTGCTGGGAATCTTACTTTGAACACTGTCCAGGACCTCTAGGCACTGGAGGGGGGAGGCCAACTGAAAGCAAGCCTGAACTCTGCTTTCCTTCTTGGAGTAGCACAACTGTCCCTGAAAGGTGGTATTCCTTTATGTTTGGAAACCTGTCTGTTCATTTTTTTTTTCTTGGCTCTTGTCTGAAATGTAGGGGCCGGCAGTAAACTTCTGTGTGGCTTGTAACCAGTCTGACATTTTTAAAAGTTTGCCTGGTTGAGACCCCACCCCCGCCCGCCCAAGTCCAGCCTAGCCCAAATGTGCAACCCCTATGGTGAGGCACCATGGCCAGAAATCAGCTCTTATGAACCTGTCTACTGTCTAGAAGCTGGGCTGTACCTGAATTTTCTGATTTTCTTCTGGACTTTCTTCACCCTTGGACCCATATCTTCCACCCGCTACTCTCTCACGCCCCCCAGTGTCCATCAAACTCAAAAAACTCAGCTCTCGAGGGTGTGCACATCTGGTCTCTGGGTCCTGGGGCCCCGCGAATCTCCATCTGGGTGCCCATTGCTAGCTCCAGCACTGGTTCCTTTTCGGAGTTAGAGGAGAAAAAAAGGAGGAGGGCTGGAGGGCACGTCCCTGGAGTCCCAGTCAGCAATCCGGATCTGGATCTTTGTGTTTCCTCTGCTGCCCGGCACTGTGCAGCACGGGCTGCCCAACTTTTTTTCATCTGTTGGACCCACTGCTCGGGATTTTCAGCCTAAGTGGGAAACAAAGAGCTCTCCCGAAACTGCGCTAAGTCTCTGTGAGGGAATTCCCCCAGGAAACTCAGGAGCTTCATTGGAGGCACTTAGGGCTCTTCTAGGGAACAAAGGGTGAGGGCTTCTTTGGTGCCCCTCAGCTACCCATTCCCCGTGCATACCGCAGCCGTCGCCCCCTGGAGGGGAGCCCGGCGTCCCCGCAGATCCTGTGCCTGGAGCCTATTGGGACTAGTTTCTCTCGGGGCAGGGGACTCTAGCAAGCGGCGGAGCGGACCTGTTTGCTGGCTACTTTGGAGGTGGGATGGGACAGAGTTTAGAGATGGAAAAGCGTGGAAGAAGAGGTTGCGTTCCTCTTCCCGGTCCAGAAAGGATCCAAGTCGCGAGTGGAAAACAAAGAGTAAACACAAACAACCTCAAAAAAAGAAGCCAAGAAACGCTTAGCCAAAAGAAGCAAGCACAACGCTGTTACAAAACTGTCTGGTTTTGTAACAATTTCCCCGATGCCGGCCAATGAGCAGCGTGGTGGGGCGTCACGTGGTGACGTTTTATATAACACTTTGCTGAGACAAGACAGTTATTAGGCGGCGCGGGGCAGCCGGCATGGAGCTCCAGGAGGCGAGGCAGAGCCGGGCGCACTGGGAGCCCGCGTTCACTGCAGTGCATTTCGCTTCCAGCGGCCGCTCCTTCCAGCTAGTTCCTTGTTCCTAGACGCCCCGTCCCCCAACCCCAACCTCCTTAGGTCCCTCTCAATATGGATTCATTTCAGTCTGCACAGATGTTGAGCTTGCCCGCCGAGCTCGGCAGCAACAACTTAGAACTGGCGGAGCTGGCGGGGCCGGG